TATTCTTTTAAATATATCTATTAAAATAGTAAGGTAAACTTCTGTAATCATTTTGGAGTCAGTAGGTAATCTGGCTTCATTTATAGAATTAGTAATCATAATCACTTCTAAGATGGGTAATGTAATTTTGTATGTTCTTTTGACTTTGTGTATAAAGGTTGCTGCTTCTGTATCATCTGTAATTGGATAAGTATATGTGTTCTAAGTTTTGATTCTGCTTGAGTCTTTGGCAAACTGGGTTTTACTAGAAAATAGTCATTCAAAATGTTTTGAAAAGCATAGTATTCTCTAAGTCTTATAACAATATCTTAAATATTAGTATCTTAGTTGGCTCTGTCTATTGAAAAGCATGCTCTTAGTTGTAGATTTTCTATGTCTTGATATGCAGGTGAAAGTGCTAATTTTTCTGGTATTGGTAAAAATAAGTTAAAAAAGTAATTTGGAATTTTGTCAAAGCTGTAAACTTCTTGTAGCTATTTTTTATAATATACAAATTTTTTTAGTTCTCTTCTTTTAATTATTGGAAAAAGGTGTTTAATTCTGTAGTCTAAATCATTTATGTCATGTGCCAATGGTGGAAGTTCAGTAAAGTAGATAGGTGGTAGCTTTTGAATTTAAATACTCTGTGTAATACTGTAACTACAGCTTTTATTTGTAACTAAATTTTATTAGAAGTTTGAATAGTAGTATGGTTTTTATTTCATTTGAGATTCTTATTGATATATTAGAAAGCTTTTGTAGTTTGCTTTTTATTGCCTCTGCAATTGTCTCTTATATGTTTTCTTTGTCTATTGCTTTTTCATCTCTTGTAAAGTCTTTATAGTATATTAGTAATTAATAGATATGCTTTTATAAACATGTATTAAAATTCATTTTAGTAATGTAATCAATATACAGTATTTGGCAGAGTTTGAAATATATTTTGTTTTTTGTTTGTTTGTCAATAATGGTTATTTTGTTTTTAGTTTTGTATTTTTATATTGAATTTGTAAATAGGTTTTTATATTCTATTTAGTGTTGGGACATGAAGCATTTGGCTCTTGTAAAAATAGTAAAAAAGGTGCAATTAGTATGTTTAAATTTGGATTTGATTGCATATAGTAGTATTTGTTATGCAGGTTTGGTTTTGAATTTATATATAATAAGTTATTGTAATTTCTCTTTAGATTAAAAGCTTCTGTAATAAGTTGGTAATTCTAAAATGTTAGATCAAAGGATTCTAATATTTTCTCATCTATGTTTTGGTTTAGTTATTCTGTTCACATTTGCATATAGTCTATATCACTTTCTGAATCTGTGTCTGCAGTTGTTCTACTTTTAATTGCCTGACTATATGTGCATCTAGTTTGTGTATCATTTTCTATTGAGTTTTTAATACTTAATATTGTGTTAACAGATTCAGTTTCTATATTTTGATCAGGATACATCTCTGTTTAAAGGAGCTTAGTTTGATAACTGATGTCAGTTGGTTCTAAGGTGTACTGTGCTATGTATGCAATTTTTATTTTCATTTTAAAACTATGTGCTTAGGTTTATATATTATTTATAATAATATGAGAGTTGTTGTTTTGTATAATTGTTATGTAATTGTTGTTATTATTTATGAAATTGGTTTTGTAATTAGTTAAGCCTGTTTGTTTTGTTGTGTTATTGTTGTAGTTGATTATACATACAGTTATGTAACTATTTGATAAAGATAAGTTATTTTTTTCACTTTTGTTGTTTTGTTTTAGTGATGATATCAAGGTCTTTTGATACTTGTTTGTAGTATCTTTGTCATTTTTGTTAAATTGATTATAAGGAACTTATTTATGTTAAGGTTGTTTCTGTTGTCTAGTAGGGTATTTATAACTGTTTTGCATGTCAAGAGTTTGTATTACTATAAAGATAAAGGCAACTATGAATCTTAATGTCCTTGAAATATTTTCTTTGTTTTTAGTGAAAAGTTTGTGTTTCCTTTTTTTTCCTATAATGATGTATCTTAATTTGTTTAGGTTAGTATATAGGAGGTCACAGGTTGTCCTGCAATTAGTATTATTATTCTGTCCTTTAGTTAGTTAAGTTTTTATGATTTTTTCTTTTTTGTTTACTTATTATTTTGAGATCTATAGGAAAAAGTTTTTTTAGTTTTATACACAATGTTTATACATGGTTATAATTTATTGAATTATAAATTAGTGCAACATGATGAAAAATCAAAAATCCTTTCTTATGGTTAGGTCAGGATGGGTTCAAGATTGAGGAAGTATAATTATATCAAAATTATGAAAGAATTTTTTTTGCTAAACTCAGAAAGTGGTTACATAATTAAACTTTTGAGATATTGGTTGGTTTTTAAATTGCCATGTACAATACACTCCGTGTACAAATAGAAATCCTTTTTTTTTTTTTTCTGTTACAATTTGAAAGACGGTTTCATAATCGATATTTTAAAATATGAGCAATTTTGGAATTCATCTAAAATATTTACGAATTATATTTCAAGAATTAATTTAGATAAATACCAATTTTAGATAACATTACGTATTAAAGAAAGCAATAATTTTACACCAGATCTTGTGGTTTTTCTATCGCTATTGTCAGAGGTAAAACCGAAACCCCAAGGAACCTGAGAAGTGATCGTCATTGTGGCATACTTACCTAATTGGTGGTGACCATGACGATCCACTTGAAACATGTGCGCCCGGCCCATATGACAGTACACAAGCCTCCATGCGGGACCCTATCACCCCCTCCAATTAAAGAAAAGTCAACCTGGACCAACCTGTTCGCGCTGGGAATGGACGTTGACTCCACCTACCCTACTTGGGTTAGGTGTAAGGCGATGTCAAAGGGGTGCGATTGTAGACAATATGATGGGTTCTGGCCCCGGGATAGTAAAACTGAAACATTCTCATCGGTTCTATGAAGAACGTGAGAAATGATAAAGTAACGAAAGGGATTAAAGGTTAGAACAAAAAAGGGTTGGAAAACGATGTGAACAATGAGAAGAGTCGTGGTCTTGTGCGTGCTCTTCTCGCGGTCAATTCATTATAAAAAGGGTAGAATTTTCCCTCCCAAAAGGTAGTTCAGTTCAAGCCCATAGTTTGAGTCGTATAGTAATATAGTTCCATAGTTGTATTGCCCTACAAAATAATAAAGTTATTAAAATCGTAGTACTTATCTTGTAACGCTCCTTAAACGATCGCCTCGACCTTGTGCCAAATCGTAAAACCGCCTCTATTATCTTTGAGGAACGTTACGCGGCATAATCTCTTTTCGAGCGGCAATCCGTCGCATTTGCCCCATCTCTGAACTCGCCCACTTAACCCGTCACACTATGTTACACTTGGGTAAAAATAAGTATTGTTGTAGCATTGCTCTTCATTAACGTTCGATGGATGATCATAAATTCCACAATTTGATTGGAAAGTGTCACCTTTCTAAGAGATCTATCTATTTACTTAGCATGTACACAGCATTTTAACGGCTATATAAAACACCCTAAATTAGTTATATTGAACTTATAAGAAACGGCATTACTTTTACACTCTATAATACGCAAAACTTGAGTGGCAAACTTATACTTAAATAATTTAAAAATCTTATTCGGAATTTTTCTTATCCATATTGAAAATTTCTACTAATCTGTTCACCTATTATCAAAAATCGGCAGAGATGGGTGATTCCGTTGGAATGAATGCACTTGGTAATCGTTATAAAAATGGTATTGGAGTTGAAAAGGATGAACATAAAGCATTCAGTTATTACCAAAAATCTGCAGAGATAGGGGACGTGCATGGAATATTTTCACTTGGTGACTGTTACCTTAAAGGAATTGGAGTTGAAAAGGATGAACATAAGGCATTCATTTTGTATCAAAAATCTGCTGATATGGGGTGTACTAATGGAATGTCTAAAGTCGGATATTGTTATCGCAATGGAGTTGGAATACAAAGTGACTCGCAGAAGGCTAAATATTGGTGCCAAATGTAAATAGTCTTATTTTTAACTCTATAATTTTGAAAATTCTTAATTTGACACATAGTGTATTGTACGCGGGTAGTAATTTGCAAATACGCGTAATTCAGGGCATTAATGCAATGGATATCTCAATGTTCGAATTGCCCAATAAAAAGCAATGGACATTGGATTGGGGCATAAATAACTTGTGATTGGTTGATCGTGTAAAATTGAGGGTATTCTTAAGTGCTTCACCAGCAGATCTGAGGCAAAATTTTAATTTTAATTAATCAAAAATTGCACTAAACGAGTTATCATTCCGATGGATAAAATTTGGGGGTTCAGGTGCTCTCAAGCTCATAGGGTGAAATTTGTCTAATTGGCTAACAAATTCAATTTTACATTATTTATACAGTTTAGAGCACTTGGTAAAAAAAAAACGAAAACTAATCATAATGAAATAAAAAAAAAACAGTATAAAAGGTTTCATTAGAGCTGTAGGATTCCATAGTCAAAAATAAGATCTAATTCTCGTCCGTCTAAAAAAGTAGTATAGTAATAACTTCTCAAACCCCGATAAAATCAACTTATTACTAAGCTAATTTTTTAAACGGACGAGAATTAGATCTTATTTTTGACTATGGAGTCCTACAACTCTACTGAAACCTTCTATATAATTTATTGTGGTTAGTTTTCGGTTTATTGAACAAGTACTGTATTCTAAACCGTATAAATAATATAAATTAAATTGGATTTATTAGCAAATGAACTTCTGCTTTCAAGCATATTTCTCAATGAGATTTGCTAGTGATCGAGATCGTCACAAGGATTATGACTAATTGAAGTAATCTTTATAGCAATTTGGCTGCAGGATTATAGTGATATTAAATTTTAGCCAATCGGCACAACTCTATGATAAAAAAAGATGGTCTTGGCCATTTTTTTTTTTTATCGCAGTCAAGAACTCATTTGACTGACTGAACTATTTTTTCACTAATTAAAAATTGAGCAACGACCTATTAATTTAGATACTTGAGAGCATCCTCAGACCTGAATCTTTAAAAAGTTGTTCGATTAACTGCTCTAACACCTAATTAATCACGATTATTGAGCAACATTTTGATCACTAGCTAATCAAATCAGGCGAGCTGCTTGAGTGCACTCTCCTTTTTAATACGAGACATCCCATATGATAACTTGACCAAGGTGTTATTCAATCTGTTTGCAATCTGAAAACCTTTATAGTAAAGATCGTTATATGCATCGGACATATCATACGACATAAGAAAATTGTCAGAATTGTCTATGCAATATACTACTGCAACTGCGCTTCACTGAACATTGACATCACATAGGGTAATTTTGAAATGTCCAATGCCCAATAAAAAAACCACAGGATATATCATTTGCCCAATCCTGCGCGTAACAACTTTTATAAAAAAAAACTTAAACTTTGATTAAGTTTAGGTTAAGGTTAGGTAGGATTATAACTTATACTAAAATTTTATGTTGAATTTGTTTTTTGTTAGAACCCGAAAGGTGGTTACATGATTGATATTTTAAGATAGAAACAATTTTTTAGAGAAAGATAATCTTATGTTGCACAATCTTGCATTCTTATTGGATTATCTATATACCCGTGTACATACACTAGTGTTCAAATAGAAATTGCCAATAATTTTTTGGACCAAATTGTAACTTTATAATACACATTTTTCTGAAAATTATCAGGGAAATAGATAATATGCCGGGTAAATAAATAAATATTATTGTCTGATTCGCTTTTGAGATCTTAAATTCACAAATTAACAAAATTAATATTTTAAGTCACAGATGAATGGAAAAAAGAAAATTCTAAAATTGATGACTCTATAAAAAAGTTATTGGAAAGATATTCATTGACGTGGATTCCATATAACGAATTTACGGATATTAAAAAAATAGGACAAGGTGGATTTGCAATAGTATATTACTCTAAATGGTTAGATAAAAAGCAAAATATAGAAAGAGAAGTTGCGCTTAAATTATTCCACAGAACGAAAGCTTATCATGAAGGATTTATAAATGAGGTAATTTTATATTTTATTATTTTCCTTTATTCGACATATTATATGTTGTGATTATTTGGCTTCGATATTTTTATCATCAAATTACAATTATCATCAATGTAAAATACGCTAAAATAATCATACTGTAATATATCAATATTGGATAATATCAATATTAGTCGTGCGATTCATAACTGAAAATTGCATTGGAGCAGAAGTTCTGCAGTGCAATTACAGTCTATCCTCGTTATAACTCTAGAACAATTTAAAATTGTTATTATATAGCGCTATAGCAGATATTCATTATATCGGACAGAATTTCCCAGTCCGACCACTACATTGTAACGAGAGTAGACTGTATTAAATTCAATCTGCCTTAATTCCAATAAAAACATTTTCATCGCATAACTGGTATAATATATAATTTTTAATATATTTGCATATTAAGTGTATATTTTATTTAATAAAGTTAAGAGCATATTATAATGTTGGGAATAAAAATCCAACATTTTTAAGATGCTATGGAATATCAAAAGATCCTTCTGGTTACTATATCCTTGTTTTAGAATACGCAAAGATGGGTTCTTTGCGCAATAATCTTCGTGCAGTATCGCAGATGGAATGGAAAGATAAATTATTATTGTTACATTATATTGCCTACGACCTTCAAATAATTCATTCTCAAGAACTTATTCACGGGGATTTACATAGTGGCAATATATTACAAGATAAATTTAATAATGCTTATATTGCAGACTTAGGACTTTCGATATCGTCGAATTTTACATTGAATGTAGAAGAGCATAAACTTTATGGAGTTTTACCATATATAGCTCCAGAGGTTTTAGGCAAACATCAGTATTCAAAAGCATCAGATATTTACTCATTTGGAATAATTATGTGGGAAATTTTATATGGGAAACCTGTACCTTCTAATCAAGAATTTGAAAAAGTACAAGATTTTGAAAATATTCCACAACGTTACATAAGTCTAATGAAGAATTGTTGGGAAAGAGAACCAGTAAACCGCCCATCAGCAATTAAAATCTGTGAAATCCTTACAGAATGGAAGAATGATGAAAATATTTTATTGGAATTAACTAAATCTGATGAAATATTAAAAACCATTAAAAGTACATCACTTTGCCAAGGTAACTATTTATTTTTTTAATAATAGTTATTTTATTTTTAATATTAATTTGAATTATTTAACGGATAGTGGATCATGTGAGCTGAATAATAATTCTAATGAATTAACAGATAGCGGAATGAATGAGACGAATATTTTTTTTGTTTTTTTTTTCTCTGGCCAAATTGCCATGGGACGCCATTGGCGTTCAGGTGAGACAAATATTAATTCTAATTATTTAACAAATAGTAGGTTGAATGAGTTGGGTATTACAGAATAATATAAAATTTAAATAAAAACTATTTAATAATAAAATCAGATAATCTTTAAAACTCCAATAAGTTGTTAGGTTTTAACTATTTGTGGGTCTTGTGCGAATTTTTTATTTCAGCTACTATTCTAAGATCTAAGTGCTTTCTTTTATCTATAGAAATTCATTAGAGCGATACATTACAAATAAAACAATTCTTTGCAAGGCAAGCCTTGAACACCTTGGATTGGTTTAATAAAGTCAATACAGTGTTTAGTTGTTACAAAAGGTCGTGACCAATAAACCATTTTTTTGGAATTCATGTAACAAATCACCATTTGAATATGTGGTGCATGAAACTAAATTTGAGATGAGTAAGGTTAAAATAGCCAATTTGAACGAACTGAAATTAGTAGTTTATTAGTGCAAAGGAAAATCAAACTTCAGACTTTAAATTCATGGACTTAATTCTTCAGAGAATGAGTTCGATACGTTATAAGTTTGAAAGCAGAAGTCTGGCTTTTCCTTTGGCTTTATATATGGTTGAACTAGAAAATAGTAACACATAACTTTATAATCTAGTAAACCCCTTGTTATTGCATATATTTCGTTTACTTTCATTCCGATATTGAATTTTATAACATTTGCTGAAACTACAATCGTTTACACATACAGTGTTCATGCAATTATACTATTAGCGTTGCTTCTTTGACAGATATATAACCTAATTCTGAGTATTTAGTCGATTACACTTTGAACCGAGAACGTGACCTGACGGCAGGCATGTGACCACGGGAAGGCCAAATTAGGACATACCGGCCAGAAATTCAACAGGAGGAAACGTACCTGATCCAAAGTGAATCGCACACACGATGTGATCAATTAAACTAAAATAAATAATTTTAGTTTTAATTATCACACCGTGTGTGGGATTCACTTTGGATCGGGTACGTTTCCTCCTGTTAGAAAAATCTCATGGGCAGAAGTTTGTCTGATTGGCCAATAAATTTTACATTATTTATACAGTTTAGAGTACTTTTTAAAAAAAGGAAAACTATTCATAATGAAATAAAAAAAAAGCTGAATATAAGGTTTCATTAGAGCCGTAGGACTCTATAGCCAAAAATAATACCTAATTATCGTCCGTTTAAAAAACTTAGCTCAGTAATAAATTGATTTTATCGGGGTTTGAGAAGTTATTACTATACTAACTTTGTTAAAAGGATGAGAATTAGATCTTATTTTTGGCCATGGAGTCCTACAGCTCTAATGAAACCTTATATTCAGCTTTTTTTATTTCATTATGAATAGTTTTCCTTTTTTTAAAAAGTACTCTAAACTGTATAAATAATGTAAAATTTATTGGCCAATCAGACAAACTTCTGCCTATGACTTACCTCAAAAAAAGATGCCAGATTAAAATAATTATACAATAAACTACAATTAATTTTTTTTTACAAGAAAAACCAAAGGTACTATTCACGAATCTCGCTAACAAACTTATGAATTTTAATGCATTGATTAAAAAGATCTTTATACATAACTAAATAACACGAATAAAAAGATATAATATGCTGTGATCATTTTGAACATTAGTATTTACTAGATAAATTAATATTAATAAACAAGGAGCAAAGTATAAAATCTTCACGAACTTAAATAACTTATTTAAATGATTGATCAAAATTATATTTTGTGAATTCAGCACAAAAAAAATTCTCAAAGTAAAAGTGAAAGTCAAAACGAAAGTCAATGAAAAGGTCAAAGTTAAAACAAAAGTCAAAGTGAAAGTCATAGTGAAAGCCAAAAGGAAAGTTAAAGCAAACTCAAAGAAAAGAGGGTCAAATCGAAAGGCAAAGTCAACCCGAAAATTAAAGTGAAATCAAAGCGAGTGTCATAGTGGAAATCAAAGTGGAAGTCAAAGTGGAAGTCAAAGTGGAAGTCAAAGTGGAAGTCAAAGTGGAAGTCAAAGTGGAAGTCAAAGTGGAAGTCAAAGTGAAAGTCAAAGTGAAAGTCAAAGTGAAAGTCAAAGTGAAAGTGAAAGTCAAAGTGAAAGCGAAAGTAAAATCAAAGCGAAAATCAAAGTGAAAATCAAAGTAAAATCAAAAATGAAGTTAAAGCGAAAACCAACAGCATAAGCCAGCAAAAAACCGGGCTACCATTTTTTCTGGGCAGCACTATGTAAGTCTTGTAGTTTAGTCGCCTAGAATAGCTCGGACAGACCCTTATTTGTAATAATTTTTGATTTTGGACGCTATGTATAAGAATTTTTATTTTTGACCCTTATCCGTAATTATTTCCATTTTTGGTATATATGCCAAACTAGTTAAGCAATGTCGTAAAAGTTAACAGGCCAATATGTAACATCTCATCATAACTAAGTATTGTTATGATGAGAAATCGGGTTTGCATATCAAGAACAGTATGTGATCTTTTTTTTTCCTACTCTATCGGAAATAGTATGTTGCATTACGTATCCGCGCGTACGCAAATAATCTTTGGTGGTTATGCTTGCAGAGTGAAAACTTGGTCCTTAAATTTATTATTTGTGCAATAAGTATTCTGGCCGTTTCGATAACATATATCACTTTAACATTAATATTTTTATGTATTTAGATAATGTATACGAAGTGTTTCAATTCTTCAAGGTTAAATTCGCTACAGCGAAAATTTAGATCTCATTTTTATTCTGTAATACTCATACGATGAAATAATTTTCAATCTCGAGAAAATTTTCATCCCTAACAATATGATTAATGCATGAAATTACTTAAAACGCAAGTTTAATCAAACAAATAGACTATCATTAAATATAATTTAGTAGTTTTAATTAGAGATGTCGGTGAAATTAATTCAACCAATTTCACAAATAATGGTAAAATTAGTCCTTAAATTCAGCTTTAATTTTAATTGTGTTGAAAAATGAATAATGTCACATCAGTGGTACTCAACATCCCATATTGTTTATAGTAATATTGTTATTAAATTTAGGACCAATATTAGAAGTTAGAATAAATTCGGAGACAAAAGTTCAAAGTTAAGGGTAAAAACAAGATTAGGAAGGATTTTTATGATGCAGAGTATAATTTACTTAGAGCGTCAAGTATTAATTACTTGGTTTTTGATATGTAGCAATATGGTGTTAAACATCAGGGTGTGATTTAGTAAAGCCATTATTTTTATAAATATTTTATTTTTATTTTGATAAGCAATTTGGAATAACAGATAAATATATATAAATTTCAAAGAATTAACCAGAGAAAACTCCTACAATTCTAATACTAATGATTAACCAGAAAAACTCAACTGGTGTTTTTAACTGGTATTTTACAATGAACAATTAACAATTTTTTACACAAATTATATAATACATCTTAAACTAATTGTAATTTGAATCGTAAATGTTTAATTTCATCTGATTGGCTAACAAGATCGCCTTCTCATTCTTATTCAATGCTGCAAGTTTTAGATATCTTATGCCAGTAATCTCATCTTTCTTTTCTTTTAACTTTCCGTTTATGTATATATCTGACAAATTAAACATCGCCACTGGATTTCCATTTTCTGCTGCTAATCTCAAGTAATGCATGAATTCTTCATATTTATCATTCGCTTTGATCTGCTTTAAATCCTTTAATGCAAATGAATAACGTAGTTGTGCTTCTGCGATACCATCATCTGCCGCAGATTTAAAAAGATGGAGTGCTTCATTTCGATCCTCCATAATTTTCTCCGGTGTTCTTTTTTCATCTGTATAATATCCTTCCCATAGATAATATCCTTTCCAGAATATAGCTTTTGAATGTCCTTTAGCTGCATTTGCCACAAAACATTTCCAAGCTTCTTTCCTTTTTGCGGGATCTCTCGTTACATGAAGTTCAATTCCTTGATCAACTTCCAGAATTTCCTCGATATCGTTAAGATCTTCATCGTCGTCTTTACTAAAGTAAAGACTTTCGTCATCTGACATTACATGTTCTTCTGCCATTTTATCGTCATCCAAATTCATAACCTTATTGGGTAAAAGGTCGGGCAAGTATCCGGAAGGAACATACTTGTTTTGCATATTTGCAAGCATTATATAAAGCTTGCCTATAGAAATCCTTTCTTCCGGATCATGCTCCCATGCTTTAAAGGATTTTAATTAGGCATATTATTAGTTATTATAATAAAATATACACTGTATTGAATTTTATAGTTATTATTAATTTACCCATTTTAATGATTTTTATAAATTCAGAATAAATCTCTTTATCTTCTTTGCTTCCGGAATAAGATGGAATTCTTTCTCTACCACTTTTTGTAACGTGATTTGTAATATAATCCATGTCTTTACCTTTGTAAGGAATCTTTTCAAAGCATAATTCCCATAGCATCATTCCGAAACTGTAGAAAACAAACAATAATGATTTATACAAAATTTATAGGAAATATTTTATAAATCTTATAATATGTACCTGAAAATTTCGCATTGTTGTGTGTATGGTCGTTTTTTAGCATTTGCTGACATATGCTCAAGCATTTTTTCTGGTGCTAACCAATGAATAATACTTAAAACTTGTTCTCCAAGATTCATTGATATACCTCCAGTCATTCTTGCAAAGTGAAAATTTGCTAGTTTTGGCTCCAAACGATTTGTCATCTGTCATTAGACAAAAATAATTAATTTGTTAATTATATAATTAATTTTATGAGAGTTGTAATTACTAAATTTATCACCTTAATATTTTCACATCTAATGTCATGATGAAAGATATCAATAGAATTTAAAAATGTGATACCACGACAAATATCGATGGCTATAGTTATTTTTGTTTTCCAAGGTATATCATATTTTTGATAAACTTCTCTTAGATTTCCCATATCAGCCCATTCAAAGACCAACACTTCAATATCTCTCAATGTTGAGGAATCTTTTATAGTTGAAACCCCGAAAAATTTAAGGATATTTGGACATTCTCCTAATTTTCCTAAAATCGCCAAATATCCTTGCTTTTTCTGTGATTGAAAAAGTTTTTGATCAATGATTACTGTTTCACATGATACTGCTATGGCATTTTTCGTATAGAATTTTTTCACAAATGTAATGTCAGAATTTTCTGCTTTTTGGGGGGGTTCTTCTGATTCAATATCTTTCAATAATGTAGGATCTATTCTTGGTGCTGAAATTTGTGTATCAGTATTGGCTGGTTCCTTTTCTTTCGAGCAAAATTTGGACTTGATGATTGATACCTCCTGGTGGAGAATATTTAAAGATCCTTGAACAAACTTTAATGTGCCTTGAACATTTTCGCTAAACTGTTTTAAAAACTATGTATTCATAGTATTTGAAATTATGTTAAACTTATTAAACTATGTTCATTTATTCCATAATATTTGATTTAATAATATATAAATACCTCGCTCATTTCCGCCAGATCTGATTCTAAACTTTCCTGGTCATACCTTCTTTGTTCATCTTGAGCAATTACGAACGTAAAATGTAAATCTTCCATACACTTATCATAATCACTTGTCAATTCCAAAAATTTTTCTTTAATAACATTAGCATTAATGTATTTGCTAATTCCTCGAATTTGCGTCACTTCACCTGCAAAATTTTTAATTTTTTCTAAAACATTTTTAAATTTCATAAAATTATTATAATATGTTTGACTACGGAACTTTTCCTCATTCTCGTGCTTTCTTCGTTGTAAAGTATTCATGGCTGCTTCTGCTGATTTCGCTCGATCAAGTAGGGAATTACAAATTTTTTTATTAAATTGAGCTTTCTCATATATTTCTATAATCTCTTTAATGAGACCAGATATTGTAGCGATTATTGGAATAAAAGGTTTAATGGTTTCTCCAACTCCAATTACTTTCGCTGCACCTCCACCAATTATTGAAATTCCCTCTGTCGCTTCTATCATAGTATCTATATCATCTGTAATGCTACTGATATTTTCTGCCATTTTGTAATTATTATTTTATGTCAGATTTAATTATATATGTGTTTAAAACTATTAAGTTTAAATATTCAATTACTATGTTGCCGAACTCCGGTCATGTACAACCAAGTTTAGATATAACAATATTGACTAATCTTTCTTATCAAAAACATATAAATATATTTTTTTATTTATTAATTTTAACACATTCAGTTTTATTTAAAAAATAAATTTTATTAGAAATTGGTTACTTTTTTTTTTTTTTAGAGACGAAACTAAGTTGTTAAAAGAGTTTATAGCGAGTTTTACTACATATTACTATACATATAACTGATTTAAGAATATTTATTACGTATCACAATGTGCAACATTCCATTTTGATAATTTTTTTGTTTCACAAATAACAAAAAATTTTTTCATGGTTGTAAAAAGAACACAGACCTCGTGAATTGCGCCGAGGACCTCATAGATAGGCATTAAACCTAACTCATCACCAAAATCATTCTATGAAAAATTTGCAAGTATTTGTGCATTGTAAATAAATTGCATAGAAAGAATGTAAAATTCTCGAAAAAATTAAAAGATACATAATTTTGTAAAAAACTAATGACATACAGTACAAGGAATAAGTATCGTAAAAGAAAAATGTAAAATTTCAAAATTAGAGTGTCTGGTACAATAGCAACCACATGCTAATAGTGGTATACCAAATAAAATTTGGCATGCTGTTGGATATATATAATATTCACAGTCTAAATATTAGTGAATATTGTTACAGCGTTATCACACCATGGTGCTTTTATATGCACTGTAAGATCTATCATAACATACAATCAAAACAATTGTTTATTTATTTAGAGTCGAAACTAAATCTTAAATAGTGAGTATATACAATTATTATTACAAGGTTCTTAATAATACAATAATACAAGAATCATACAAGCTAATGGCCTTTTTTCCCTTTCTTAAAAAATAATATCTAGATGAGTGAAAAGAATAAAAATAAATCGTAAATCTAAAAATAATTATGCATGGAAAAATAAAAAATTCTTAAATTTATATAAAACAACCTTTTTTTTTTTACCATGTATATAATACTGTAATATACCAACTCTTTAAAGATGCATTTTGTCAAAAGCTTTAACCTCAGTGAAACTAGTATACCTTTTTATTTTATGTCAAGAACTTGCAATAGAATTGTAAGTTGCTAAAATTATTGCTCGTTTTCAATAGCGTAACATTCTATATGGAAAATTTAATTTTTTTTACATTTTTTTTAATACTAGTCTGTACCATATTTTCGCGTAATGACATTTTTGAAATCATACTACCTTAAAATACAATGCATAACATTGAAATGACGTCCATGCCGTCCTGAAATAACGTACATACTTAGATGCACAACATTTATATTACTTACGTACAGGTACAACATGCTCAATTCCATGTCAATTAACAATGTCAGAAGATGTTATGAAAATGGCATTGGAGTAAAGAAGGATGATCATAAGGAATTTAAGTATTATCAAAAATCCACTGATACAGGATACAAGGTTGCAATTTACAATCATGGAACTTGTTATGAATGTGGAACTGGAGTAGAGAAGGATGAGCATAAGGCATTCGATCATTATCAAAAATCTGCTGATACAGGATATGTGTATGGAATTTACACAATGTTGGATATTGTTATGATGAGGGAATTGGGGTAGCAAAGGATAAACAAAAACGTTTGAAAATTATCAAAAATCTGCAGGGCAATTCTATGGGAATGAATAATGTTGGTGTTTGTTATCGTTATGGAGATGGAGTTGAAAAAGATGAACACAAGGCTTTTGAATATTACAAAAAGGTCGCAAGTATGAACGATTTTAAGGAAATATGTAATGTTGGCGATTGTTACAGAAACGGAATAGGTGTACAAAGAAATATTCAAAGAGCCGATCATTAGCATCGAAAAAAACGAAGTCTTAAAAAAACTGGTAAAATCCATATGGACAAATCGATAATGGCCTTAAAAAACTATTGTATGATAAAAGATATAATTTATTATGAATCGAGTATAATGAATTCAAATTTGTAAAAGAAATAGGAAAGGTGGATTTGCTAAAGTATTTTATGCGGAATGGCATTCATAAATCGAACGTGAATGCTGAAATTTTCATTCAATAATTGAGGAATTATTATGAAATTGGTTACGAAAATCCATCATTTTTGGAATGTTATAGTGTATCAAGAGATGACACGACCAAAGATTATATAATTGTTTTGAAATATGCAAATAAAAGGGTTATTATGCCAGAATATCAAAGAAGTATCTCAATCGGATTGGAAAGATAAATTAAATGTACTATACTGTGTCGCTTCTGATCTTGAATCAAATCATTCTCAGTAATTGATACATCGGGATTTACATCCAGGAAACATCTTGCAAGAAAATTTGTATAGCGCCAACATTACAGATTTAGGACTTCTTTAGCTTCTAATTTTAAAAGTGAAATTGTAGGTGTCTTACCTTACGTTGCACCAGAAGTTTTATTAAATAAAAAACAATTCACACAAGCTGCTGATATCTACAGTCTTGGAGTTATTATGACCGAAGTAGCGACCGGAAAGGGGGCGTTCGATGGCGAGCCTTTCGATTCTAGACTTTCGGCAGAAATTTTCAAGGTAGACGACCTGGATTAGTAAAGGTGTTCCAGAATGTTACAATAAATGCATGGATTCAGACTAGTGCTCCGAATTGAGTCGAGTCGAACATTAACCGGACTGGACCGACCCGACCCGAAAAACATCAAATTAGAGATGTTCGAAATAGGCATTTTATATGTTTATTTGGGATCTAATAGCAAGTACAGTTGCCTCCGAAAGTTTAGGACGGTTACACTGAAACATATTACGTAAAAAAAAATCAAAAAAAGTCATTAACAATTATAAAATATAATTTTATGCTGATGAAATTTTTTATTTTTTTATGTTTCTGTGTAACCGTCCTAAACTTTCGGAGGCAACTGTACATATGTTTATAATAGCAAGTATATAAGTATTTTTAAATAATAGTTTACAGCTGTTCTCATAAATTCTGGGACAACTGATAAAAATTTGATCTGCCGAATTCGTTAAGTTTTTGGATTCGGTGTTATCGGAATTGGATTTTCGGCATTACAGTAATTCAATAATACCAAGCTTATCGAATTCGGCCGATCAATTTTTATCATTTGTTTCAGAATTTATGAGAACAGCTATAAATAAAACTACCAATCAGATTTCTTCAAACAAAATTGTCATGGCAGTTCCTCGATTTTGATTGGTTAACGGCCACCGATCATAAATTTTGGTCCGCATTACATAATTTACTAATTTCAGGTCGTAATATTGATTTTTTTAAATTACAAAAATAGAAATTTTGAAAAATAACCTCGCATTATGGTAAAATTTGCCTAGAAACAATAATAAAATTCTGAGTAATTTTGGTCAAATATTTTGCTTATTACTCTTAGTCAATCAAAATTGAGAACCTGTCATGAAATTTTGTAGGCAAAATTAATGAATTTTTTTTAATTTCATAATCATAAAATAAAAATAAAAAACTTTTATTAATTTTAAGTATGCAATGCACAACTTTTACTATAGTAGTTATAAAACATATCATGTTTTAATTTGATTAATCAACTTTTATAATTATTATTATATAGATTTTAAAAACAAAATAGACAATTAAATTTATTTTTTTAAAAATTTTAATATATAAATTCTAAAATTTTGGGTCAAGTTGAGTTGGGTTCAGTTCAAGTTAGGTTTTAACTCAATCTTTTTAAAGCACTAATTTAGACTCACAAAAATGACTAACAGTAACAATTTTTGTTATATTGTTAAATACTTACTTTATAAGATTAATCATAATAATGATAATAAAATTAAAAAGCAAAATTTTAAAGCTAATAAAATAAAATAAAATATTAAATTTAAGTTTATTTAAATTATTTTTATTTTTTTTATTTTTTTAACATTAAAGTCCTTGCCTTTGAAGATTAATATTTTTATTTAAGTATTTAACACAGATGTCTTTAGAGGTTTCTATATATAAAAGGTTAAAACTAACCACATATGCATTTTTGGTGCCTAATTTAGATAGTTTGCCTATACATTACTATACAAGTTCTACATTAGATGCTATATCTGCAAGTCAACTATGGGTCTTGCCTATTTAAACCCTTTGCATATGTAATCTGACTTGTAATTATGAGAATATCTTCTGGATTACATCTATTCAAAGTACTTTATGCTTTTAAGATCTTTAGAACTAATTTATTCTTGACAGAAAACTTGCTAGAACCTTTCATATTTTATACACAACTGATCTAGTTTTATACAATACTTTATAGTTACCTAACATTTGCAGTCATAGAGATAACCTGTTTAACTGCTATATTACAGTATTTTATACTTATAAAATTCACTAGAACCTTAGTACCTATTATTGTAACATCTTCTCTATCATCTCTTACTAATCACTATTCAGAACTGACAAGACTCTTTTGACTTTTAATCCAAATAGTCTAGTATAGTATATATATATATCTTTTTTCTCTGACAATTTTGGCAGCTTAGTTGGTCATATACTTTTCTATATATCTTGATATTTGGTTTATTTGTTATCTCTTTGGAGGTGTTTCATAGGCTTCTATCAGTCTGACTATACTGTTAAAAGTTTATGTTATCTTTTTAATCAGGAATTTCTAAATAGACTTTTAATTTTTTAGTTTATTAGTTTACTGTACCTGGTGGTCTTATCATGGGTTTGCACTGAAGTCTTATATAATACCAGTTATTAATATTTCTCTATTTATATGTAATGTTATACTTCATATAGATGCCCTAAGTTTCTATTTGAAATAGTGTAATTTAAGGTTACAGATACACAAATTCAACTGATCTTCAAAAGACAATTACTATAATACAATTTAATTTTCAAATTTTATCATAGGTGAAATTTGAACCTTAGACCTGCCACTTGAAATATA